CAAAGTTTGCCCATCCTTTGTCTGCCCACTTATAGAGAAAAGTGCAGGTACTTTCAATTCCTGGATTGATACCCTTCTTCTTCAGCTGCTTTCTCTCTGTATCTCAAATGCCTTTGCAATACTGTCACAGGGTATATAGAGCGGCCAGCTTTGCTTTGCTTTGCTTTGCTTTGCTTTTACCATTCCTGCCTGCTTCCTTTATACCCTAACAAAATAACCAATGGTTCTGGGTTCACATGTAACAACAACCCATAGGTAAAACATTCCAGAGTTCACATCTCAAACGAACCTTCCCTCAGTTGTTTTTTGGTTAACAACACAGTCAATCCATAGTTATGGATTCACATAGAAAAGCAGCTCAGGATTCAATCACCCATACAGCCCATATACTCCTCACATGCAAACCAAGTATCTGAATATTCTTGTGCTCCACCTGGAATACCTAGCAGCTGCAGCCTGTGCTTATATATATTTGTCTCAGTGCTATACACTCCTGACTGGCAGTTGTTTTCCAGGATCTCAGAAAAGAAAGAGATCTTCCCCATCATTTGCCAGGGATTGAACTTCTGAGTACAAAGCATGTGCTCTACCACAGAGCAAGGCATATAGTTCTATAGCTATACAGGGACTTTCCATCTGTATGCCTTTTTCACTTGGGAAAAATCATTGTGCCATCCTTTGTCTATATAGATTATAAATGACCACTATCATTTTTCAAATTGCACCAAGCAAAATGGGAAAGAAATAAGTGATGGGAAAACAGTATCAAAGCCTGGTGAGACTGAAGTACATCTCAGGTTGCTTCTAGGGCAGAATCTGACCTGCTCTGGTTGTTCTTACAGCCCTTTCCTCTAATTAGACTTGTCCTTCAATTGCCACCATCAAGAAGTTTTTTCCTAGCCTCAGTGCCATGTGAGGGAAATTTTTGAAGGGAAGCCTGCAGTACATGGGGACAGGCTGGTTCACCCTACCCTCCTAAGCTGCATAAGTCCTACAATCACCTGCTTCATGGAAATAGGTCTGAAAAAGTTTCCACTGGTATCTGATAAAGACCTTTTCTGAAGCTAATTGCTGCAGGCAGTTGTGAGGAGAAAAGCATAAGGTTGTTGCATTGGAATGGATAAGCTTGCCTGGGTGTGCCGTAGCTGGATGTGGGTGAGGATGCAAAAGACACAAGCGTGGCCCTATCCACTTTACTTTGACCTTGAGCACCATGCATTGGCTTTGCCCAACCTGGGCATGCAGGCCCAAGAAGGTTGGCCACAAGGGGATGTGAAAGGTTTCCCCACCTCTGTGTGAAAACATAGTAAGAAGAGACATTTTTCTGGAGCTATAAAATAGCCAGGGAAGGTGTCTTCTAAATGTTGCATATGCAGAACTTGAACAACAGGTGGATTTGTTTACATGGTGCTTTAAAATTTGGAGTAGGCAAGGAGACTCTTTCTAAAAATGGAGGCAGCGACATGAAACAATAGTAAGAAGGAAAGCGATTGCAGAGCATGTGCCCAAAGGTCATTCACAGCAGTAAGGGACATCCTGATGGAACTAGTACAACTTTTATGAGGTACTAAATGGAGTGTGAAATACATGCAGCACTGATCAAGATGCAAAAGCGTCTTAGGTGTGAGCTGCACAAATTGCTAAGAGAAGGCACTGGAACATGTATTTTTAAAACATGCTTACAGACCTTGCAGGAAGGACTGGCCGCATAGCCAGTATTTTAAGACGTGCTTTTGTTCATCTAGACACTGTTTCATTTCTTTTCTCTTTTCTGCATGTTTCAGATTAAGGACATTCTTCGAGGATATTTTGTCTATACGTCACCCTAGAGGGATGAATTGACCATCTGAAGTAACCATACCTTGTTTTAGGGTTTAGGAACCTCAGTGTGATTCAGTGGGACATCAGAAGAGGCACGTGGGACAGGAAGGGCCTGCTTGGCTTTGCTTCCTCTCAAGGAACTAGCCAAGGAGGCCCTCTCTGTCCATTCTCCCACCACCGTCTTACTTGTTGGGTTGGGAGGGAAAAGGTGTATTGCAAACTGGTGGTGGTAAAGGGTGATACTTGCAAGAGGGGAGGAGCTGGTAGAACTGAGCATGAATGCATTCAGAGGGAATAGTGCAGACTCTGAGTCTGAGCAGAATTTAGCCTGCCCACTGCATTTCAGCCATCCACCCAGAGGTTTTATTTATTTACTTACTTATTAGATATATATCCTGTCTTTTCTTACAAAGCATCTTATATTAACCCCCTCCCCCGCTCTCAGTCTTATCCTCACAACAACAACTCTATGAGGTAGGCTGGGCTGAGAGGCTGTGACTAGCCCAAAGTCACCCAGTTAGTTCCATGGCTGACTGGGGACTAGAGCCCAGATTCCCTGAGTCTCAGTCCCATGTTCTAAACCACTACATCACACTGGGTACTTGGAAAGGAGATTTGAAGCCCTAAAAATTCAGGTCAGCCCTTGAACTCTAACAATCATACAGGCCCATGATATCCCACATCCCTCTTAACTCATCATGTCAGCATGGTGAGGATCTATTTTTCTTTGAGAGAAACCTCACTGAGAGGGAGACAGTGTGGCATGGCATGCAGGTTGTCGGACTGGGACACAGGATACCTGGGTTCTATCCTCATTTATTCATGAAGTTCACTGGATGACTTTGAGCCATCACTGACTCTTAGCCTCTTAAGAGTTGTGAGGATGAAATGGAGAGGAGAAAGAAGATTGTGTAAGCCACCTTGGGTACCTTGCAGGAAAAATATGGGATATTAATATATGAAATCAGAGAGATGCCATGATTAAGAGAAGTTGGCTCTTTGGGAGAAATGGTAAATCTTAGACCACAATCAAGTTGATTGTGTGTGTGTGTGTGGGTATGCATGCTGGTGTTATAATTCAAAGGGATGATGATGATGATGATGATGATGATGATGTAAAATCATGTGCTGATTTCATTATGCTGTAAGAATGTGAAAGCTGGGCAATATGCCATAGTGACCAATACTCCTCATGGGAGGAGGCAGCCATGAGTGAGTCCCACAAGGAGAGTAGCATGCATGGGGGTGGGGGTATGAGGGGAGGCTTCAGAGAACTGACTCATACTGGTCAGAATTTACAGAGCAAGTTTCATATGCCCAGAGCACTCTTGTCTAGCTTGGGCTGGATCTAAATTAAATTAGAGGGACTTAAGTTAAACTTATTTCAGAGAAGCTGATGCAGTCTGGCTCTCTGATTCATGTAGCTGCACTTTGTACCTTGCCCTGGGAGCTTGACTCCTAAATCCATGTTTTTTCCAGAAGCAGCAACAAAGCCAGAGCCACTGAATGCGGCCAAGAATGACAACAATGTTCTGGACAATTGCAGAAAGGCACGGAAGGTCTTGAATTGAGCATGATCATTTGAGGTAATACTTTAAATGCCTTCTGTAGAATCCTTAGTTCCTTCCCTCCCTCCTTTTTCCTCAATGTCCTCTCCTCTCTCTACCTTTGCTTTTCCCTTGTCTACTTGGGTTCTAGGGAGAAACCCCATTTTAGGTCTGTCCATTCAAAGCCTTCCCATTTTTAAATCAAATTGTGGTAGTTGTGGAATATCTAATAATGGGTGAGCTTCCATTTCATCTCCCTATCATTGCCCATCCCAAAGCCTTCCTTTTGGATATCTTTAGACCATGTACAGCATCCCAATGTAAACAAGGCTTCTAGTTATATAATCATATGGGGCTGCTTTTGCCCCATATGATTATATAACTAGAAGCCAAGTGACATGAGGCTAACCTGCACCTATAGCATTTTCCCACCTATTCATAAATAACACTAGAGGTGAAATCCTTTGGACTACCCTTACATTAAAGGTAGACAGTTATGGATATTTATTCCTTTTCAATTTCTAAATTGATCTGTTTCTGCCACTGTAGTCTACCATTATCAACACCAAACAAGCTTCCTTTGGACACACAGGGCTTGTTCACACAAGACATCAGGCTCACTGTCAGTTTTTCAACAAGCTATGAACTGCAGTGCATGCTGGGTGCATATGGCTGCCATTATGAATATTCATGGATAGCATGCCATCCTAACCCATCTACCATAGGTTGCATAAGGCTTAAAGAACCCTCACAGAATCCTTTGTTTGTAGTAGGGTGATGTGAGGTTTGTTTAACCTTGAATAAGCTATGGCAGCCAGATTCAGATGGAATGTTTCAGTCCCATAAGTTGTCACATATTCAAGGACCTGATGCTCACTGTGATTCATTATAGCTTAAAGAATCTATGGTATATGTCATGCAAATCAGGCCACAGTCCCCTGCCTTGCCATAGCACCTCCTTTTACTCCTTATTATGCAAACACTGATTTTTCCAATAGCTGTATTTTTCTATGTTGGCCAGTTACAAGTAATATACCAGTCCATTTGCTAAAGGGTTGTTATGCTAACCAAACTGTTTTCCTCTTCCCTAACACATACATATGTATGCATAACTATATTATGGATAAAGCCATCAACATAAAGTATTCAGTTTTACACTTTAATAACCGTCTGAGCTAATTTCTTCACGTGCCCACACAATTTAGCTATTCCCTGCTTCACTAAAGCAGCATGCAGTGGTCGGCTAAGCGTATTCTGCAGCTCTGGTAAAGGTCCCATCATCATGCATCCAGCATGTGACTGTGTGGGAACAAGAACTGACAACGACAAAGCATGATTAACTTCTTATATTGTGATATCTCAGCAAAAATCTTTACCATAGCCCTGTAGGGTGGCCTGGCATTACAAACCCATATCGTTGATGGGGAGGGGAGGGGAGGCAGGCAGGATACTTCCTTCTGTCTTTTCACATAAGCATGCTAAAGGTATATGCTTATAGGACCCTGCAATTCTGAAAATTCAAAGTAAACAAAGAAACCATTTGGATGAAACATCTGGGATTCGGTGTTATATTATTTTTCCTTTAAAAAAGAGAGAGCACGCCAAGATTCATGAAATATTTGGAACCAGTGCTTTGTATAAATTTTTTATTTATTATATTTCTCTCTTACCTTTCTCCCACTGTCGAACTCAAGGTGGCTACATGCAGTTCCCAGGTGGTCTCCCCTCCAAGCTTAGGCCAGCCCCAGATCTGCTTTGCTTCAACAAGGCTTATGTACCTTTAGACCGTACTCTGGGCCAAATAAATGCCATGAGACAATTACCTATACATTTATTTTCCACCCTGCCACTCAACAGCTGGGTTCTTCACTATCAGGCCTTTAGGGCTGGTAAACAGAGAACGTGCAGTGTAAAGACTGGGATCACTCCGGCAAGCCTAGAAACCATGGCTGTGTCTCGTAGAACTGAAATAGTATTTTTCAAAAACTGCAAAGCCTGGCATATTTTCAAAATGTGAGTCCAAATTTTCCAGCTTAAAGATTTTAACATTTTATTTGTGAGGGGCAATTTTAAAATGGCATTATTATGTCATTAAGGCAATCATTTTAAGAGTTCACTTCCCAAATTTACTGAGAGATGTATAGCCTTTCTCTCTCTCCCTCATATCTAAGTACCTAACAATGTGAGCACTGGGGAATGTTGCGAACTAATCAAACTGAGAGCACAGAAATTTGACTTTTTTGGAAGCAAGTTTGCATAGGATTTGCTGAGAGCTTTTCTCCCGCTCCCTCTCCCCCACCCCTACTATTCCGTGAAATTTGTTTCACCTCTCCTGTACTGTCCCTAGGGGGCTTTGGCAGCCACCTCTGCTCGCCATGGCCGGTCGAGGTAGCTGAGCACCCGGCGGATAGGGCCACGCTTTGTGGGCTCCAGAGCCAAGAGGCCCTGGAGCATGGTGATGGCGTCCTGGGACAGGGGGCGCCAGTGGAATGGCAGATCTTCCTCCAGGCCTGACTCTTGCCATATCACAAAGTCATCAAAGAAGGAGTCCTCAGGCACCGTTTTCTCCCAAGGAAAGTAGCCCGTGAGCAGGCAGAAGATCAGCACCCCAAGGGCCCAGGCATCTAAGCTGGCGTCGATGGGCAGGCCCAGCGTGTCACCGGTACCGCGGCTCAGTTCGGGCGCAGTGTAAGGGATGATGCCAGTCACAAGACGCAGCAAGGTGCCCTGGGGCCGTGTCAGCCCGAAATCAGTCAGCTTGATGCAGTGGCAGTGGCGGTCAAACAGCAGGATGTTCTCTGGCTTGACGTCTCGGTACACAAGGCCCCGGCTGTGGATGAAGTCCAGTGCACTCACCAGCTGTTTGGCACACAGCTTGGCTGCTGGCTCAGGGATTCCTGCCTGGTCAGATAGGAGAGGAGCAGGTGTTTTTACATTGCTGGGTCTCCTCACCTGCCCATCACCTTTTAGGCACCCTCATTGAAACACAGGTCCTGCCCGTGAGAAGGAACCAATATGCATTGAACTGGACATGATTTTTCTTGTCTCTCAAGATGCCAGCAGGGGTGTTCCCAGGTGAGGCTTTTATGATGCCATCCCCTGTTTCCTTCACAGAATGTTACACTGGGGGTTCAGACAATGACAGCTCTTACTTGTAGCCCTCCTGTGTTTCCTCATTTTCTTCCACCTATTTCCTTACCATGGCAAATCCATTACAGGAAGAAAGAGGCAGCAATTGGTGTACAATGCTTTCTTGATAAACCAGCACTGGAAGCCCCCCATCCAGAAGCAATCAAAACAACTATGTTCAAATGACAAAATGTCTATATTAAAATGACTGAGCAACATATCCAGTAGCAAGCTTCTAAATACCCTGTCTGCCTGCTTTTTGTTTAACCCAAGATTTGTTAAGGAACCTGCTTTTAATATGTTGAATAAATTGTCATATCTAGTTCTCTGTAAATATGTGTTGACAGAATTCAATTTGATTTGAAGGGGTAGGAACAGAGGACATGGGCCCTGGAAACAATCCAAGAAGGCAGTCCTCTGATAATGCCACATTCTGCCCATGTCAGTTCTTTCCTTTGCTCACAATTAGGTAGGACATAGCATGTATGAGTCTTACCTTGGGCTTGATAATGGAGATGAGGTCTCTGTGCAGAGCTGCCTCGTAGAGGAAGCCATAGTGCTGGCTGGACTCTATGGCAATGCCAAACATACCAATGATGGCAGGGTGCGCAGAGAGGGAGAGTGCCACGCAGTACTCGTACAGGAAGTTCTGCAGCTTGGTGCTAGCCTTAGGCAGCAACTTGAGAGCCATCGGGGTCCCTGAGGGAGGTTAAGAGAGTGGATGAGCACCTGGTCATATCAATATATGTAATCCACAACAGGCCGTGGTGCAGCTAGTTCTGAACTTTGGGGCCCATTGCCTCAGGCCCTAAGTCAGCACACTTCTGCAGTTGGCTCACCGGGATTGCTGGTTAATGAGGGAAACTCCCAACAACCTTCATCATCTCACCCAATGGAATCAATTTTATGGGCCCTCATGAATAAGGCAATCCATTCACCAACTTTGGTGTATATGGGGGAAATTGTACAAGCAAAGGTCTGCTTAAATGATGGAATTTTCTTTCCCTTTTCTCCCACCTGCATCCTCTACCCCCTATAGCTCCCCTCCCTTTCCCTGCTGCACACCCTCCACAGCAGATGTTGAGGATATGCAGAGGATGGAAGAATTGCTTCTCCACAAATGAAAAATGTTATTGGACATTACCTAACCTATGCTAGCAAAATAGGTATGTTGGAGCAGGGCCGGGAGGAGAGAGATTTCTACTTTCACAGTGTAAGCTGAGAGCTACAGTTGAGCTTTGGATGTGACCCATGTCCAAACTGTTCCATGGACTCATTGTTGAAATTTGCACATTTTCTCTCAGCTTTTGTTTGGATAAAATGGATAATCATGTTAGTTATGAATTTCAAAATTTGAGAGAGTCAGGTTTAATCATGTTTGCTCATGGGCTCTTACATTTTTGTGGCCCAGAATGCAAGTTTGTAAGAAGTATGTTCTTTGGCCAATGGCCTTTTTTGTGAGCATCATGAACTTTGGTGAGATTTCTAAAAATCAGCTGAAAAAGGAATGGAAAATAGGTGAAACTGCTGCTTGTTTCTGCTCTGTGTGCATCGTGAGCTGGTGGAGGGTGAATGCCTCCATGGACAACAATGAGCTGTTTTGCACACTACAAAAGGCTCATGTTAGAGTGATTCTCAGAACTCCTAATTGACTTCTTCCTTACTTCTTACTAGAGAAGTGAATGATGGGTTAACCACTGGTAGGCATCTTCAGTTAAGTGGAGTGCTCACCTCACCTAAGCACTGTATGAATAAGTGGCAACCTTCCTAAAGATCAGTAGAGGCACAAATCAGTTCACCTGGCCATTGAAGTCTTCTTGCCCTTATATGGCCAATCACTATAAAGAGTATCTTGGAAATGGAGATGCCAAGCATATACAATAATTAACCCTTACCTCTCTGCCTGTGAGTCACCAGTACCACTTGCCCATATTTCCCCTTGCCCAGCTCTTTGATGATATGGTAGTGCTCAGCCACTTCCATCTGCACCAGACTCTGGGCAGTGATCTCCAACATGTCTTCCAGGAGCGCCTGGGCCTTCTTGCCCAAGGTCTGGTCCATGGCCAAACGCTACAAGAAATACCAAAGGGAGTCGTAAGTACAGCAGAAACCTATTGGGAAGGGTGACAGGAGAGTGGCAAAATTCAACCCAATTCATTAGTAGGTAAGGAAAAAGCTCAAGCCAATTCTCCTAATTTGAAATCACCTACTACTAGCAGTAGTATCATAATGATTACTGTTACCTAATTCACTAATGAAGAGAGAGAAATGCAACATGCAAAATGAGTTGTATGAGACAGTCCACTCTTCATCAAAATGGATTATGACTGAAATTATCTCTTCCAATTTTCTCTAAAATGTGCTCTCCAGAGCTGTGTACATCTAGAGGGCTTTGGTTGTGAGTCAGTATAGAAATGATGATGATGATGATGATGATGATGATGATGATGATGATACCACCTGCAAGATGGTTTTATTTATTTAATTTTTAGCAGTTAATTTTTAGAAAGCTGCAAAAGAGACAGAAATGTCTATGAGTGCATCCAGGTGAAGCTTCCATTGTGCATTCACATTGTCTAATTCACGGAATTTTACAGGTATTCAGACATCATCATCTTCCATTTATAATGGTCCCATACATCTCCCTTTTCCCCACCACACACACGTGCAAAATCCCTTGAAAGGAAATGCTGGAACAGTTCTACATTGACTTTTGACCGGTAAAATGCTTGGAACTATCCACAAGCTATACTTCAAATATAAGTGGCTTAGGCAGTTTTACATAATTATTTTCTTAGACCAGTACCTTGGCCTTGTTTTTCAACTTCAAGTCAACAGTGGAACAGTGTCTGAAGTAATCCTTTCTTATTCTCTTCCATTTCAGGTATTGTTTAAAGCTAAATGTTTGCCTCTACTCCTATATGCACAGACTTTTTTGAGTGTCTTCTAATTCAAGTATCTCAGACTCTCAAGCCCCAAGAATTTTTGAAAAGAAAGGAACCATCTCATGACTTTGCTAAGCAACACTTGTGAAAAAAAATTTGCCAAGAGCTGAGTGTGCAACATGGGACAGAACCACAGCAGTGCAAGCTCTGTTTTTCATGCATCAACATTCCATACACAGGTCAATGTCCATGCAGAATGTGTGAAATTGGATGTAAAGCTGCAAAGAGGTTTTTAGTACTTCCAGATGACAATTTTTACTCTGTCATTATCCTTCCTCAGTCATGGAATATTACAGGTGCTCCAGAGGAAGTCATCTTTAATGTGCAATATGGGTTTTTCACTCCTTCCATCTTTTTACTTCCCAGAAAATAATCTATTAAGGAGGGGGGAACAAGATAGCTGCATAATCCATTGGTAGTACCTGAAGACCTTGCTCTGCTTTTGTTTATCATACAATCATGACAATAAAAGTATTACAAAATTGTAGTATTTGCACAGATTCTAGTACGAGGGCTTTTGTATATGTGCAGAAATGTGTGTGCATCCATGCACAAACAGTATGCAATGGAACACCCAGTACAACATGATACAATATGAACACACTTTTTTCCCTAAGGCCTGAAGTGTTCCTCTGTTCTCCAAGTACTTGTACTGTACGCAGGGCTATGTCCGTATACTGCTATACCCTAGATAAGACCTTTATAGATACAGAAACAAAATTAGGACATATTTATGCTGAAGTGCCTGCCTCAGGAGAAGAGTTTGTTCATTTCAGTCTTCAGGAAGAAGCTTGTAGTGGTTCCTTCCAGAACATACATATCCCACCTTCCATGAAGCTCTGATCCCACTTTCAGGACAAGAAGGAAAGAGGGCTGGTGCATTCCTGTCCCCACTCACTTCGCCAACACATGGCAATGAATGACGCATCCTCCTCAGTATGTGGTCTCCCTTGGACTGAGGCAAAAAATAGAGCCCTCCCATAGCTCCAGAGGCCCTAAGATGAAACCTTGCCCATGGCTTCTCTGCTTCCCCTGGGTGTCGAAATTCCCAGAAATCCTCTCAATGACCTTGAAGCAGAAAGGACCAAGCATACCTTGCACCGGCACTCCATTGCAAGCTAACTGGTCACATGGGCTTGGGGCAGTCACACAGCAGAAATCCGGAACTGCTCCCCATACTTTGTGTCTCACTTCTTAAACTGACATCCCTCTTCTCATCTTGAAGGCCTGCACCTTGGTAAGCTCCAATTCTAGGCTGCTTTTTATGTTTCAACTCTCCCCTTTGAAGATATTCCAGCTTGTAGCCTTTCGAACAGAAACAGTGTGTAGAAGGTGTGTTACTAGAAGTTATTTTGGCTGAAAACTATTACCCAGCTTAAGAAATCTTAGGAGGTTGATCATGGATGTTAGGAACATAGCAAGTTGCCTTATCTTGAATTAGACTGTTCATCCTTCTAGCTCAGCATGATCAGCTTTGACAGGCAACAAGATTTCAGGCAAGAGTTTTCCAGCCCTACCTAGATATCCCTACGATTAAATCTGGGACATTTTGCATGCAAAGTACGTACCCTCATGCTAGCTTATAGCTCCTTAGGTTGATTAACTGATTCGTTTTGGAATATGCATACATTTGTCACAGAAGACACCTGCTCACTGGTCCCATGAGTGGCCTGGATGAGCAAAGGACCAGGCAGTAATCCCTTGAACAGGTGAACTGCAGAGATTGGATACAATGCATCAGTCTTGACACTGGTATTTTTTGAGCCTCAACTTTCCATTAGCAGTCTCTCACTTGCCTCTTTCCCACTTCACACACACAGATCATGCCAAAATTAGCAAGGCAGAACTAACGGCATTAGCTAAAGTGTATTCATTTGCTTAACTAAGTCCACTTACAAAATGTTGTTCTTGTTGCAGAAGTCTGGAATCCTGGAATGCAGAAGGGAAGACTTAAAAAAAATTAAGATAGCTTTTTATACAGTCTTGTTTCTCTGTGGTTCTCCGATGTGAGAATACAGCAGAATGGCTCAGTGTCATGTTTTCTGTTACATTTCTGGTGCCCCCAGAGAAGACAGACACGGTCGCCTGCAGCCCCTTTGCTTAGCTGCTCCCTGAGTGCCTGCCTTCTGATTCTTTGCCAAGTGTCCTCTCTTACATGCTAGCAAAGTTCATGGGGATTTGGTCCTAAATGGGATTGACACACTCTTAAAGCCACTAGAGATCCATTTCCAAGCTTCTGCAGACGGAGGGAAAGGGCATGAGGTAAATCCATCCGCCCTCCCTTGTCCCCTCACATGCCTTGCAGCTTCTAGATTCAGAGCTTCTCAGTACAGAGGATTATGTGAAACAGTAAGGATGCATCATCATCATCATCATCATCATCATCATCACAAGTCAGAGCTTGAGTCTGCCAGGAAATTGGGTTTAGGATGTCTCATCCTTATTCTTGCATGTGTCGACTCTGGATTTGGTTATTCATTACTGAGAGCCCAGAATTTTGTACACACTCAGAGAATGTGTATCTGACCTCTTTTTGGTATCAGCTCTTGTAAATGAGAAGTTATCACACAAATTTAATGATCCCTTTGATGAAGCAAGCTCCCAGCTTTTCCACACAGGGACAGTTTTGCACAAATGGCTCTTTGTTATTTTTTAAGGTGACAAAAGTCATCATTTGGGGGTTCTATTGCCTTAACTAAGTATTCAATTGCCTAAAAATATAAAACTCCATTAAAGGAAAACTTCCTTGTGCTTTTACTGCCACTGCCCCTTGCATGTCAGAAGCTACTGAAGAAAGTCTCCTCTCCCATTGGTCCAATAGCTGTTGCAAATGGACGACCAGGGAGTCAAGGACCTCACAGAATATTCTCCCATTGCAGGCAATCCCAAAAAGATTTGGCCTTCCCATTCCCAGCTTCTATTGCACACCACTTGGCTGTGATCGATCATCTGGGCACCTGCAAGCAACCCAATCTGCTCTTCAGGGCACTCCTTGCATGCAAAGCAGGGTTGAAAGGGAGAAGGTTGCCTTGGCAACTGAGTAGACCTCTGCAGCCTGTTTAGTTTAGGCCCCAGTCTGTTTGCAGCAGACTTCTTTCCCCTCATCTTTTTTTCTCTCACCAGACATGAGGGTGCATCCAGAGTGAAAGGCCTTGCTGCTCCCTTACCACAACAGAGATCGGTTCAGTCGCCCTGCTTTATGTAACTGTTCCTTGCTTAGAGTGGCAACTCGTGCTTCATTCTCCAAAATAAGGAAATGGATAATCAAAAATAGGACAAAAGAAGAATTGCATGAAATTTGCACATGATTTTCATGTGCTGATATGGAAAGGGGTGGATTGCAGGGAAGCATTCTGGAGCAAATAGAAAAATAAGACACCTCCATATAGCGAAGAGACTGACAAAGGTGACCTGTGTGCCTTGCTCAGTCTTCTGTCCAAGTGCAAATGTTGATCGGCAAAGGTCCCTTGTTACTCTTTGTTATCTTCAGTCTACACAAGAACTAGATGGCTCTTCCAATCAAGAATACCTTCAGTTGAAGAAATGAAGCCTTTCAACAGCCTTTCAAACAGAGGACTGCCCCCTGTAATGTAGGATAAACAAGCACCTTGCACTCTTCTTTCACAATTTCTGTGCATTTCTGCTTCCCAGCCAGAAGACACAAGAGTCCTGCATTTCACCTTCTTCCTTGCTTTAGATGTGTAAGTATACAGAATGCCTCTGCTAATAAAAATTTGCTTTCTCCATTGCTAATATTCAATTGACATAGACAAAAATCCAGCAGATTACTCCATTCTCCCATTTTGGATGGGAGGGTTGGCTTGAATTTTGGACTTTATTGCCTTCCCTCCTGCTTTGAAATCTGACTTCTCAACCATGCCTTCCTTCTCATTAGTTCCATCTTCATCCTAAGGAACTATTAACCGGCAATTAAGCAGGGGAAAACCTATTAAAAGCTGGACTTGAAAACAACACCTTTGCATGCTCACAGACATGACCTTCCTTTAAATAAAGGATTTATTTGATAAATCTCACCAACATCTTTATTGAAGTATCTTCTGCCCATAAAAGAGAAACAAGTAAAAAGGAACTCTCTACTGATTTGAAAAGGTCAGAGGTATTCTTTTCTTCCTTGCAGACCTGGGCTAATAAGTATTTTAAAAATTATCCTGCTCCTTGAGAGACTTCCAGTGATATACAATTAATAAAACAGTTTGTGCCTGCAGGCTTACAGTCTTAAAAATACAGAAGTAAAAGGAAAAAAGCAATTGGAAGGGAAGACAGAAAACGCAAGGATCTATTTATCCAGACTGGTGCAATAGCCATTTCCCATCTCATTTCCCCCTGCTACAATTTGGTGGAATAGTTGCTGGTAGTGAGAGTTAAAGGAGGAGCCCAGTGTCTTACAACTTCAGAATTGACCAAAAGGCTAAATTGTGGAAAAGCATCAAATGTAGGATTGTCTCTTTTCCCTTTAACAGGATAGAATCACCATGAGATTCTGGTTCCAGTGACACACAGCACAGCAGATTTGTGATCAATCTCCTGGTTGCTGCTGCAACTGTTATTCTTTCTTCATAATACAATTCAGCCATGGCAACTACAATTTTTATTGGTGCAAATTTTATCGATTAGATACTTAAACTTTTCCTAGCTAACAACTGTTCTGATAAAAGTATCCCTCTTCTTTCCTACACACTGCCCCTGTATCTTTCCTCTTGCTGGTGGGAAAACAGGATGTTGGTAGGTGATTTTGATAGTGGAAAGGGGGGAATGAACCATGAGGATGGGGTAAGCCACCATTTTCCCTTGCATCATTATTTGCTTCAACCAAATTTGCAATGTCCTGCATTTTAGTGAAAACAAAGTCTAGGAATTAAATCACAGCCCTTTTGCATGCTAACTTCACATTGTTAGTACCTCATGTGAAGCATGCCTGTTTTTACTTCTTGATGACCGTTCTGGAAGGCAGAAAACTTTCTTCAAGGGTGAGGAGGTGAAGAATGGGACAGGGAGAGATCAAATTATTTTAACTTTACACCAAGAGGACTCATTATCTGAATTTTGGATTTCTAAAGCCACGCAGGAAAACCAGCATCTGAAGAGGTTCCTTGGCTCCAACGAGGCTGCCCAGTGGCTGTTCATGATAAGCAAGGATTGGGGAAACTCACTTGCATCCTCACTAGTGACAGAGCAGCCTCTTAATTTTTTTAAAAAAATGTGCACTGCCTTCTCCAAATAGAATAGGTCCATGGGTTATATGAGGTCACAACTAACAGTCTACAGCTCTACTTCCCTCTAAACATTCTCTGATCACGTGACTGATTGAGGAAATTATAAAAGTTCCTTCCTCCCCCCCACCACCCCGACTCAGTTCATGCAACAACTCTGCACATAATCAAGTGTTTTTTTGTCAAATTCGCAAACGGTTCTGATGAAATTCTTAAACAATGGATGCTTCCTAGAGAGTTTGAGGACCCCTTTGAGTTCACAAAAACAAGGGTTGAAAACTAAGGAAGCAAACAGAAGGATAGACATTGCTCCAGAGGGAGACAACAATTGAGCACAGCTATTGCCCTGTTTATTTCTAGCCACCTCAATCCCATCCTCATGTCCCAACATACTGTTTGACTTTTGCCTTTTACAGACACTGCTGGCCCTGTTTATATTGCAGATGGATTTGGCCCTGTGAAATAGGTTAGTTGCTTGGCCCGGGCTGCTAAAAATAGTCTATAAAAGTTCTAAGATCCTCTTGAAAATGCTCATGCTTAGACTGCTCAATCTCCATGGAGTTCCACAAGTGTGAAGCTGCTACCGAGAACACCATTCTATATGTTTGATAGTGCATGGGTTGAAATAATAATAGAGTCATTGGGGAAGCACAAAGGGAAAGGACTTGCAGCAGGAAAAAATACATCTGTCCCTATTTGTACTTAGATCTATATTCTACTCTCATTGGGCACCATGTACAAGACAAATAAAAACCAAGCCTCATTGTAAGGCTTGGGTGTGGGAGGACACTCCTCTGTAGTTTACCTCTTTTTCCCAAATTCCCACCATCTTTTCTCAGCAAACCTAAAAGTGGAACTAAACATCCCAAGGGACACTGAGCTACTGTTGCTGTGTATTTATTTGTCCCCTCTTCCCAATAATGTATAATATCATGCACCATGCTGTGATACCATTGCATGATGCATTTTGTCAGCCTTTGCCACTGCCCTACAATGGTGTGAGATGGAGTAGCAAAACACACAGCTTGGTGGCATCAAGTCATGTCATGCACTGTGGCATAATCAACACAATTACTATGGAATGGGAGCAGAAGCAGCTTAAGGATTCTCATGCTGCTGGAATTCCACATTACGCTGCTTCTCCACATCCGCCTGCTCCTGCATATTTTGCTGCTGCACTGAAATTCCTCACCCATCAAGTGCCTGGAGACAAAAGCCAGAGACACTTTTTAGAATGTGCTCTGTGTTCTGGACACTCAGTGCAGATAATATGTATTATTTCTCTCCAAGAGATAAGCAGAGTATCCTGGCTGGCCTTCTGTGACAGAGCCATTCTCCCGCTTTCCGCCTCTGGTGTACCTTTGCAACCTGTTGCATTGCATGGGGCATTAAGCTGCAGGCAAACACCTGGCAGTTTGTACAGAAGCCACCTCTAAGACCGACCCATCAAGACTCCACCCTCCGCCACAGGAAGGACACAACAGACGCCCCCGACCCGTCTTCAATGCTGTGGCTGGCTCCACAGACCATGCCAGGTACTCACCCGCCTCCCGTTGTGTTGAAGGACCTCGGGGGTGCCCAGCCTCTCTCTCCTGCTTCTGCTGCTGTCTGGTGAGACTGTGTGGAGTGCAGCTGGGGCGTCTGCCAGGCATTACCGGTCAAAGCGTGACGCTCCGCCTCTTCTCCTGTGCCACACACCCTATGGAGCCGGAGTTTGAAGAGGGGGAGCGCAGGGGAGGGTGTCATCTATCTCTCCAGGACAGATGAAAGAGTGAGCATACCAGGCCGGCTGCTTCACCCGGCAGCCTGAGAGCCCAGGCAGTGGCATCTGCCAGGACACCCCACCTGCGGAGAATTTAGGGCTTCAGTTTCTGGGGTGTCAGTGGCCTTTCGCCTCTCTCCCATGGTCCTTTGCCTTGTCCCAGAATCCTTTATGCTGCTGTTGTGATACAGTGACATCCTGTGTCCATGTCTCTTCACTGCATGGTGGAGGAAGAGCAAACTGAAGGGGCGGAAAACAGGGTCCCTCTTTCTGCACCCCACCTGCTCACCTCCTCTTGACACACTGTCCAAGCTAGCTGAAAGGTGCTAAGTGCCCCACAAAAGTGAGCTGTGACATGAACCTGACTCATGGTGGCCAACAGCCGGCCACCTCGCAAAAGTGGTCACCATGGCAACCAGGCCTCATCTCTGCAAGCTGCCCAGTCTTCCTGAGAGGATGTGAGGACATCAAGAAAGCCAAGGTTTCTCTCTGAGTAACAAATCATGTTCCATAGTTAAGAAAACTTGAGCAATTGGGTCTTTGGGGCATCTGAAACAGCTCAGCTGAGGGGCAAAGAATGTACATAATTAAGAATTGTGCAGAAAGAGTAAATTGAGAAAAACCATGTTCAAAGCACTGGATTATGTGTTTTCCATGAAATTAATTTGTAGTATATTCAGGATGGGCAGTACATCATGAGTAGATGATGAAAGAAATGTGGGAAAAAAAACCAAAAAACAAAAGGAATCTAGTTTTAATGTTACAATCTGATAAACTGGTTTATAAATACCAAGTGGTCCCTGTCCTAGTATGCATATGCCTGAAATACACAACAGGGGAAGGTTTTCTTTAAAGGATTTATTCTTGAGAATAACCAGCTACCAACAAATTGTTCCAGATGGCGCACCTGAGCAGTCCTCTGTTGGCCCTTTTATACATATATCATTAAAGGGTGACACTTAATACAGTTAACACTTTCCAGTAGGTTTCAGAAGTAAAAAGTTACAATGGTGTGATCTTTCCTGCTTACATACCAAAGAAGATGCTCCAAAGGAGAGAGGAGCAGAGGGTGCTATTACATAAAGAGGAGGATGGGATGGGCTGGTGTGAATTGCCCTTTGTTTGAGCTGCTGTTATCTGTCAAGTGCCAACTAGCTTTCTCTGGAAGGGTGCCTGGTTAGTGTCAGCTACATTTCAAGGATGCACACATGCCAATTTTTAGAAAAGATATTTTTCTCAGGCCTGGTTATGTGTCAATGATTGCATGATTTAACCAATGGAAGTTCTACCTATTGATCTGTACGTCAGTACTGTCAAACAATGCTCAGTTTGCTTCTAAAAAGAGAAGCAGCAAGTTCAATCCAATTTCTGTATTAGAAGACTTTTTTTTTATTAATTCCAAGTATAGCAAGGTTCACCATGAAACCTACTTTGCATATATCTAAGGGCATTCTCTTCATGTCTGAGTTTTTACATAGTCCAAAACTGAGTCCTGCTATTCAAAACAGGTTTTGGAACTATGTAGTTTAGCTTGGATTAAGACCTGCCACCAAGTGAGATTGAGTTTTAGCCATGTACTTCTCTCCATCTGACTATAGCTCCTAAAAGTAAGCATCAGATGGGTTCAAAATTTCAGTGAATGTTTTGGGCCAGAAATGTTTTTTGTTGGTAAAACTAGGGAAAGCAAAATTTATGAAGATGCTTCACATACCTGTATTGTTTCCTTCTTGCTGTTACAGACCATAGATTTTGGTATATGCAAAAGAGCTGCCTGGCTGATTGGGTTTTTTTTGTCATACTCATAAATCAAGTAGCTTCCTGAGGAGGATTGGCAGAGGTCATAAAGAATGACCAACTAAGTCTGCAGCTCCAGATTTTCCATACGGAGCCGCCAGCCTCCAAGAGGATGCTGCACTGTCCATGGGGACTTGCTGAAATAAAGATAAAGGGCCCTTGATGGCCTCTGCTGCATATGATCTCCTGTACTAGCTGGCTTTTTGCCTGCACAAGTTTCACCTCCTGCTGCCCTCCTCTAAATCTTTCTACCGACAGACTTTTTTTCTGAAATAAAATTCCCTCCTTTCTCTTGTATCTATGTCTCTATTTGCAAACAAGGTGTCCTTAGAAGACAGAGTCTGTTAAACATACACACATATGCGCATACCTTAGAACATAAGTAAATTAGCTCATGCAAATCTGTCCTGTTTTGTTTTGTTTTGTTTCACCTCACTTTCACTCTGCCTTGTTACACATTGCTTTGCTTTGTTTCGTTTTGTTTAGTTTCGCTTCAGTTTGCTTTTTGTCTTGTGGGCCTGGGACCCAGCTCTTTTAATTACCTTGTACCATCCCCGAGTACTGGATAGTCGGAAGGTGTTGTGGGTTATATATCCCACCCTATCAGAAGGGCTCAGGGTGAATTTGTCAGGATGATGCTGGCAGTAGCAAACTATATCATATCATTGCAATAATTATTTATGATTTAGTGGACAGAAAGTTTGATCTCTGTGTTTGAGGTTTGTATTTGGTTTTCTGCTATAGCCAAACTTTACGTTGTATTGTAGATACAAGTCATTCTAGCCTAATGCTTCTGAATCTGTGACAAGGTGCCCTTGGAAGTAAAGTTCTTCAACTATTTTGAAAATGTAAGGTAACCTATGACTGGAAAGTTCTTTTTGTACTATCAGCAATTTTATACTTTCCAAAATTTGAGCATGGTTTCTCCATATGTGAACAGAAACAAAAAGACGCCTAGTGGACCAAAATCATCAGATTTATCTGCTGCAATTCACTTTCATTACTTCATACCTATGAATAACTGCTGCTGCTGCTATGTGATCTCAAGTCATCTCTGACTTTTGATTACCCAACATATGAAACCTCTCCAAAATGTCCAAGCCTTGTCCAGCTCTTATAAATTCAACACAGCAGCTTCCTTTATGCAGTCAATCCATCTCATATTTGGTCTTCCTTTGCTTCTTTACTTTCTCTAATATGATTGTCTTCTCTGGGGAGTTTTGCCTTCTCATGATGTACCCAAACTATGACTGCCTCAGTTTTGTCATTTTTACTTGTAGGGAAAGTTCTAGTTTAATTTGATCTAGGACTCACTTGTTCATATTGGTCCAGAAAGCTCTCCTCCAGCACCATGTTTTGAATGCATCAATCTTATTCTTGTCAACTTTCTTCACTGACCAGCTTTCATACTCATACATGGTGACTGGGAATATAATAGTATGGATGATCTTGGTCTCCAATGAAACATCTTTGCTCTTGATTATCTTTTCTATTTCCTTCTTTGATGTCTCAGTCTTCTTGAAATTTCTTGGCTACAATCTCTATTTGCGTTGATGACTGAGTCAATGTATGTAAAATATTTCACATAGCTATAGCATTACAATTTCCAATGTTTCATACAATGTCCCTTAATATATCTTCATCAGGAAGTTGCACTCACAACTCATTTTAATACAGATCTTAACTCACAAGGGGCCGTACCAGCATCTACCAATATGCTAACTTCTGAGACATATGCTCATATTTGACCCAAAGTGGGGCCTAGTGTTAGTGTGGTCTTTCCCAACATAGTGTCTTTTAGATGTTGTACACTTCATTTCCCATCAGCTCCAGCCAGCATGGCCAATGGCCTAGGATCTGTGGTCCAAAGCATCTGGTGGGCAGTAGGGTGGGGAAGGCTGGGTTAGTGTATCAGACTTGAGACCCAAGACAGGGCAAGCATGGAGTTCTAAAGGCTTCTTTGATTAAGTTTTTCAGATCAGTTGTATTTATTTATTTATTTATTTATTTATTTATGTACCTATTGGATTTCCTATTTGCCTATTAGCCACACAGCTCCCTGGGTGGGTTACAACAATGAAACCATAAATACAATATAAAATACATTGGAAAAACAAAGATTACAAATAATAATCAAACATTAAAACCAATATAAAATGCAGAACAGAGAGAACTGATGAATTCATTAAAAGGCATACTGTACACTTAAAATGCTATTAAAACAGATTAATAATTTAAACAATATCAGGATAAAAGGATCTTCACCTGGCTCCTAAAAGAATGTAGAGAGAGTTCCAGGAGAACTTCTCTGGGAAGCTCGTTCTAAAGTCAGGGTGCCACTGCAGAAAAGGCCCTCCTTCTTGTTGCCACCCTCATTTTCCTAAGTAGGGGCTCCTTCAGAAGGGCCTCAGTTGCAGATCTAAGGTGCCAGGTAGGTTCATATGGGAAGAGGCACTCCTTAAATACCCTGGCACCAAGCCATTTGGACTTTAAACACTAGTGTTCACACCTTGAATTGGGCCCAGACCTCAAGTGGGAGCCGGTGGAGATGGTAGAGGACTGGCTTCATATGATCATATCTGCCAGCCCTCGTTAGCAGTCTAGCTGGACCAACTGAAGTTTCCAGACCATCTTCAAAGGAAGCCTCATGTAGTGCGTATTGAAATAATCCAGGCAAGATGTTACCAGTGCATGGATAACTTTTGCCAGGTCCTGTCTGTCCAGATATGACCACAGCTGATATATCAGTTAGATTAGTAGTGACTGTGTCTTGATATTAAGAAGTTGAGGAAAAATTTCCACTGGTTTATCTGTCACTCTCAGTCTTTTTCACTCCTAGACTCTGATTATTTAGGATCTGTATATATGGCAATTGGCTCTGTGCCCCTCCCAGTTATCTCCTGCCATTTCCGTCCAGTCCCATTTGTTGGATCAATCTAGGGTAGTTGGGGAGGCGGCATTCTGAAATCATACATAATGTGCTGCCAGCCCTTTCTGTGTCTGCCAAAATGTCTGCAGGGACATAGGACATGAAGATGAAAGTCACCATTATGCAGTTAAGGCAGATGACACACCAAGATTCCCTCTCTATCTACTGTCAGCTTATGCAGT